CCCCCCCCCCCCCATTATCGACTTTCCGGCGTCCCTGTGCATAGCCATAGGTTCTGATTTACTCTGGGCACCGCAATTAAATAGGGTGCATTAGGCACAATGCAACCGGCTCAATGGGTTAAATGGCTGGTCGAAATCACATTTTCCCACCATTTGTAATTGCCTGTGAAACTATTGTCTGTGTATCCAAATTATTCTTATTTTGGTATTGATAGCTAGTTATGTTTTAATTTCAAGACATAGATAATAATGACTAAGACTGTATTGAATGCATAGAAAGTTGTGTGAAGGGTTAATCGCGTATTTTAGAATGAATTACTATTAAACTACAAAATAGTGGTTAAACATAGTTATAAGTGTTTCATGCAACCAGTCCCTAAAATATTTCGAGTTTTTAGATAAATTGTTGATGCAAGTATTGACTATTGTATATAAAGGTATTAGAGGTTAGAATATAATATGTAATAAAATGAAAATTATAATTTGTTACAGTATTTTGTATATTCTGTACAAAATAATGTATAGGTTATTAATATTGCTTTAATTTAATTACCCTGTTCCCCTGCATATAAGCGCATGCACCTTTATGAGCGGATATTTACGATATTTTTTCGAGTCAAATTTGCCGATTTTCACCGCATTCACCTATGAAAATCCGCAGATCTGAAGGAAGGCTACTGGCTCTCCACTTTTTCTCTGCCTTCCTTGGGTACGCCTCGTTTCCATCATCTCTTCATTAAACTGAAAATACATCCAGAAGCAAATTATGTAGATAGCTCAGGGTGCGATAATTATTCTCGTACTTACGTCACGGAGGTACGGCAATAGTGAGGTTTACACCTGACCTCCACTGCCTTTCACTGTCTTAGTACGCATCTGATTGGTTAATCTGGTAGTCTATAAATACCTAGTAGTAGATGGTTTTTTTGTAAATGAAATTTTCGAACATAAATTTCTACAAATTTTTAGACCATAGACCCTCTGACAGGAATTGAACCTGCGGATAGAACTCATCTACTATCAGTTGTATCGAAATAGATGACAAACAATCTATTTACCCATATCACCTTCTACTCACATCACCCGGCCCATTATATTATACACACAAATCTGTAGTTAATGCTCAACAACTGGATTCTGTAGCTCAGTTGGTTAGAGCACTGCACTGAAATCATAGGTTCGATTCCTGCCAGAGGGCCTACAGTTGCATTAACTACTCCTGGTTAGGTCTAAAAATGGATAGAAATTTGCGTTCGAAAATTTTATGTACAAAAAACGCATCTACTATTAGTTGTATCGAACGAGATGGTCAAGAATCTCGAGTCTAAACACCACGCTGATATTACGGTCTGCCGGTCTGGGACTGCTTTTTTCAGCCTCGTACCACGTTGCTACACGGATGTAATTTTTAACATCTCTTATAACATAAATATGGTACCATATGACCTTTCCAAGCCCTCAAGGAATTGGAAACCGTAATTAAGTTGGTAGATGTGTACGTCTGACATGTTTTGATCCAGACATGTAACATGATTGAACTGATGGGACTAAGTTTTATGTAAATCAACAGGATTTTGTGTCAGATATACCAGTTGCTTTACGAACCACTTTAATGATTTCCTTTTCTTCGTGAATTCTGAGAATCACGACTGTTAATTTGAAATTGGGGTAGCTGTATACTACGTTTCGCATTTGGAGGAAAATTTCTACTCGTCAACGAAATGATCTGCGTCTCAATTTGTGTATAGGAAATATTACCAGCATATTTGTTCAATAGAGGAAGTTGCTGTGATGACCGTTTGATAAGTTCATTTCATACCCACCTTGAATTCAAAATGCTTAAAAATCGCTTTTCCGCGTTTTACCCTTTTTTTCCGCTTCGGCAGGTTCCGCGTCCGTGATCCCAATCAAACCTGCACCAAGCCCGCGAGCGCCTGCTTTGCAGGCAAACCTTAGAACAGTTTATATAAAAAGAAGGCAGAAATGTTTCAATTTGCTGTAGAATTTTAGACATTTTATATTGTGAGATTCGTATTCTGTTCTTACAATGGAAAGGGAAGCAATGTTTTGTCAGCTGTAAAGAATGGCTTTTCGTTCGACAAAAGAGAAAATATATGGCTACGAAGACTCTCGGTTTGAGAAAGATGTCGACGAAAATTTTCACTGTTCTATCTGTTACAATGTTCTCAAAGAACCAAGGATGTGCAGAAATAACGAACACATCTTTTGTCTTGCCTGTATCAGTGAACACCTACGTGTAAACTCTCAAACTTGTCCTGAATGTAACGAGCATTTGAGCGTAGATACGCTTCGTAGGGCGCGTTTAGCGAGTAATTATTTGTCTAAGCTCAAGATAAATTGTGATCATGCCAGTCGAGGATGTGCTGAGTTGACCTGTCTTGAAGAACTCGAAACACATGTGGCAAATTGTGGCTATGCTCCTGTGTTGTGTTCAAATGCAGAGTGTGGTATGGTCATCAACAAGCGAGAAAGAGTCCATCATGAGACTGAAGTTTGTCGACATAGGAAAGAGAAGATACAGGAAGATGTGGGAACGTTGAAAAGAAGTATAATAGAACTAGATTATAAAGTGGAAGCAGCAAATAAAGAGATAAAGAACAATAATGTTGAAGTGAAAAAGGTTGTTGGGAAATTGGATTTATTGGAAGGAAGTTTAAAGGAACTGGATGGAAAAGTGGAAGCAGTGAAGAACAGCCAAAATCAAATTAAGGAAGAAGTTAAGAAAGAAGTAAAAGATGTGAAAGAAAGTCTTTCAAAAGTCAACAAAGACGTGGACAAAGTCAAAGTGATGATGAGTCAAGTGTTAGAGAAGTTAAATATGCTTGAAATGCTTAACAAACTGCCATCTCCGACTGAGGGAATGTTGAAGACACCAAGGGAAGACATTTTGATTGCAGGTGGTTACTTTTTCATTGCAACTAGTAAAAGTGTGGAAATATATTCCTGGGAGAAGAATGGTTGGTTTAAGGTGTCATCAATGAATCAACAGCATTCTGGATCTTCATCATTTATTTATAATGATCAGTTGTTTGTTGTTGGGGGAGCATATAGAAAGACAATAGAAACCTTGGACCTCAATGAATTGCCTTTGAAATGGATGAAATGTCCTGGAGAACTTCCTTATAAGGGTGGTGATCATCAAACTCTTGTTTACCAACAGCGTGTTATTCACATTGGTGGATCTAATTATGACCAGAGAAGACAGTCTAATATGATCAGTGAATTGCAACTTACCTCACCCGTCACTATGAAAAAATTGTGCCTAATACCCGAGCCACGATCTTGTCATGGTGCTGAGATTTTTGAAGATAAAATCATGATTTTGGGAGGAGAAGCCCGTAATGAGCATCCTTTAAATAGTGTGTTGGAGTTTGATGTAAAGAAGAATGAATGTAAAGAGATGCCACCATTACCACATCCCTTGACGAGAATGGCAACTGTTTGCTGGAGAGATCAAGTAGTTGTGCTTGGAGGACATGATGAAAGAAATAATGCTCTGAATGATGTTTTCATGTATGACTGCAAGACGGGCAAGACCACAGCTTTACCATCCATGTTGGAGAAGAGATATGAATGTTGTGCGGTTATTACTGGAAATACCATTTTAGTGATGGGAGGTGCAAATGAGAAAGATAAACATCTCAGTTCAGTGGAGTGTTTTACGATGGGAGGTTCTACGTGGGAATATCTTCTTGCCATGAATGAAGCCAGGTACAGAGCAATTGCTGAAGTTTTACCTTCCGCAAGAAAATATGTGTAAGTTTTACACTTGGACATACTGTTGAATGTTTATTCACAGTAATGCGTAAAGGTCAAATTTCTTGGTTTTTACCACTTAAGAGGGAATTCTTGTTAAAAGGTATTGTTATACAGAGTGTCTCAACAAAAGGTAATCTCTGTTTGGCATGTTATTGTGTTTAAAATATTAGGTGTACAGATATTTTTCTATGTCAATAATGATCAGGCCATTATAGTTGTAGACGACCGGTGAACATTCTGAAACATACTCTCTGATAGCATTTTTTGTTACTTGTAAGCTAACAAGCTGCCAACTGGCATTCTTGTAGCTTACACATTCATTTTGGTGAACAATACTATGACACCTTTGATTTTGGTTTTATAGACGAAAATTTGAGAATTTTGTCTAATATTGTACTAAAAATGCAAAATTTCAAGTTTACTTTTCCCAAAAATAAACTACCATTAGAAAGATTGCAAAAATGTATAATATATAAGACATTTAAGCAAGTAGTGAAAATGTCCAAGCTGGTGCATAGGTAGCCCAACAATCTGCACGCCATGACGTATACTACTGCATCATACGTCATGACGTATACTACTTCATCATACGTCATGACGTGCGGATTGTTGGGCTACCTATGGCTGGTGTTGAGTTAAAGGAGCTTAAAGTTGGCAATAGTTAATAACCTAAATTAGTAGCCTCCTCCGCAGGCATCTCGTAGTTCACATACTTCAGAAAGTCGGTGAGATGCCTGCCAAAACCCGACATGGTTGAGCCGTTCTGCGCATCTTGCTTGCGCTGCGATTTCGTCTCTAGGGTATGCACGTGGGGAGGGATTTGTCATCCAAGATGGCGGATTGCATGGAGTGAAGAATTATGAAAATTAGTGAATTTATATTAATACGCTCGCTAAAGGCGGCTAAACGATTAAGAATACAGCTTTTGTGGACAATTGAAAGAATCTTAACCCGGAAATTAAAATTGTCATCAAATAATTTACGTGTTGTCAGTTGACATATATTTTTGTATATCTGTAAATGGTCAAATGGAAAACATCAAGGTTGACGTATATTTTTGTATAAGCTGTAGATAGAAATAGAAATCTTGTTGTAATCTTTTAAGCACTATGAAGATAGACTTTGTGTTAACATCACAATGAATTGCATTTAATTTCATATAATATTTTTTTGGATCAATTATAGTTGTTTTGTGTTTTAAATAATTGTTAATGTCTGGCTGGCATAATTACTTAAAATAGTACAATTATCATGTACAGTTAGTTCAATCTGTCTGTTCATGGTTGTTAGAAGCAGGACAAAATTACCCTACATATCATGTGTAGAAATGTAACAAGATAAAATATATTTCAGCTTGATAATTGTGGACCCATTATTAATTGAAACCAAGGCAAGAGCCAGATTGATTTGAGTGAAAAAGCCTTGGTCTGGTGTTTGGTTGTCAGATTGGCCGAGTATGCCAATCAGTGAAGCAACGCCACTGTCTGAAATCTAAAATTAGCTGGGTTCACTTACTATATTCACTATCAGGGACGTCGCTACCTGGGTGTGTGTGGGGGGGGGGGTGTAACCCCCCCCCGATAATTGAAACGTTGGTCAAAGTTGGTCAAAATGGAACTGGTATTTGCTCAAAGTTTGTCAAAATGGAACTGATATTTGCTTAAAATTTAAGGACAAAGTTGGTAAATTGTGGTTAAATATTGGCAAGCCTTGCTTATTTTGGTCGAAAAATTTATAAATATGCTTATATCAGTCTGGAATATTTTTTTACCCCCCCCCCCTGTCGACAACATTTCCGGGTTTACGACTTGGTCAAAAATTTATTAAATATTGATCAAAACATGACAACCCCCCCCCCCTCCAATGTTGATGCCTTAGTGACGCCCCTGCTTACTATACTATGTCTTGTTTCATGTGTGCACTAGTGTCCAGTACCTGCATGATGTGAATTACATTGTACAATCCAGCAGTTAAACAATAACATGGTAGATGATTATAATAATAATAATTTTTAAAATTTTTTTTAATCCAAATGAAGATGTTGAATTGTCAGGATTTGTATGCAAGAAACTAGGTGCTATTTTGCATGTCTGAGATGGAGACTAAGTTGCTGCATCCTAGAAAGTGTGAACAGCAAGGTTTACATTGTACAATTAGCAGCTTCAAGGCTACAACACATGGACAAGCAACCATTGTCAATGACAACATTGATCAAGCATGTCATAACCTGCCAGAAAAAATAGTGACATAATTGGACATGGCCAGCATTCTGTTTTGCTGACACCTTCTTTACAATATAACATGTTTTTAAAGGATGAAAATGGGATAAAAAAATAAAAGTAGTGGAAACTGTTGTCTATGCTCACAATTTCCCTGTGACTTATTTTTGAATCACATTGCCTTTTATCAGAAATTGCATTGCAAGTTGCAGATTTACTAGAGGGGATGCACCCTCCAAGCCCTGACAGGAGAGGGTGAAGGGGGTGCTTCTTTCATGATAAAGCAAAAAATAATAGAGACAAAATTAGATACAGTAATTTGAGCAATAACATGATGATAAACAAACTGTGAACAACAATTCAAATTCAAATGTAGTCTGTTGATGGGTGAGTGGCACACATGACCGACACAACTCTGTACCAGAGCTTCAGTGGCGCCGCCAGCTGGATAATTGGGGGGGGGGCGAATATTCATATCTTTGTGTTCTGCATTATTAACTTCTTTTGAAATTGATTGTTTTTATGCTCTGTGAACACAAATATATGAATATTCGCCCCCCCCCCCAATTATCGAGCTGGCGGCACCACTGCAGAGCAGCCCCCTACCTAACCTGAAGTTCAGACCCTATCACAGAATAGGGCCTGACACAAAACCTATCTAAAGTGTGGGATTCCCGTCCACCTGGTGGACGGGAAATCTGATTGGTTGATCAGCATCATGAAGGATTTTGATTGGTTGCAAGTTCACATAAACAACAGTTTTAAAAATAGCTCGGTCAAGGCGAGAATTAATATAAAGGTCAAACGCACGTAACAAATTCCATTATCGATTTCTTCGAATTTCTTTTCTTTTATGCTTTATGGAAGAAAATAAATCAAACAAATAGTATTTTGAAAGGGCTTCATCAAAATCTTTGACGAATTTTGGACACACACGACGCTGAAAGAACAGCCAAACTAGTCCTGTATTCGAAAGCTTGTTGTTGACAGCCAAGATGTTCTGCCAACTTGCTTCGCCGGCAAAAGTCTTATTTTTAATATCAGGTCCTACCGGCGTTGTTTTCTGAGCTACATCGCCTTCTTCGTGGTATGATTGAGAATTTAATTGTTGCTGTTATTAGCCCGTTAGTCGTTAGAGTATATCCGCGTCCAGCAAGTTGAGACCTTGAGAAAGCTTGGCAGTCAAGCCGTGCACAGAACTGACTAATTAAATCTTTGTTTGCTGTTCGCCTGTTCGGTTAAATAGAGAAACTGACTCTTAATTATATAAAAGTACCTTGAATTTTTAAGTTTAATTAAAAAGCAAAATGCTCTGCGGACATGTTCATGAGAATATAATTTTTTTGTGTAACGAAATCTACAACACTTGTCAATCATATTGCATGTGTGTCTAAAAATAACATGTGGGCGTCCCACGGTCTAGACAGGTTTTGTGTCAGGCCCTATTTCAAATTAGGGCCTGAACTTCAGGTTACCCCCTACCAGATCATGCTGGATCGATCCCTGTATTATTTTATTTACACATGGAGGTGTATCTCTTTTGGTGGCGTAAAGGCATGTTTCTTGACACAAGTGACAATCCAAATTTTTAGATGGCTGTTTAAAATTTTAGTCATGCAGCTGGATGGCAGGCTGGTTAATACCATGCAGTAATGCAGTAGAATAATCTTGAGCATAACATCTAACATAATACAGCAACAATATAAATTGTATAACTTTGCTTGATTTATAGTTACTGAATATATAAACACTTCTTACATTTGGTCAACTTGCACAATAATTGCTTGAAATTTGTGTTACAAGCACTGTCAGTCAGCACTAAGCAGTTTACTCAGCGTTTACATAGTTGTTTACATGCTGTACATGTACTCAACAAATCCCCGAGATATTTCTCGCTATAGTAACATACAGCGTAAAAACACATGGGATTGTAAATTTGAAGTTTGTTCTTTGCTGAAATATCTCAAAATTTGTGTCGACAAACCAGTTTCAATGTCATGCACGTCCACTATACGTGTGTAACAGCAATCGACAATTCCAAGAGGCAAGAGCATCCATTATCCAGTTGAAATTTTGACGTTTACCACTCCATCTGCATTCTAGAGTATTCCATTTCCCAAAAGTATTAATATTGATGTTATATGCATGTAGGATACAGACCAAATATAAATTGAACGGTTGCAAAAATTCTTATAAATTCCATTCACATTTCACACTTCGTCTTTCGATACGATTTACATAGTTTCGGCGTGGTTTGACCATCTGTATTTCGTTAAATTCCGGCCATCCGTTGTAAGTGCAAAATAATCAATGTTTCATTCATATTTGTTTCAATTTGCAACATAAAAATGATATGCTCGATCGATATTTTTTCGAATTGTGTCTGAATATAAAAAGATCGTATCCTATGGGAGTAGGGGTAACACAGCTTTTGACATTTTGTAGTAGTTTTGATATGAACAATTAATCCCATGAGGGTGGGGGTAACATAGCCGGTCCACAAGGGTTACATAGCTGGTCCAAAGTCTTCGGGTTTTGGGTTTTGGCTAGGCTCAGATTCCAGCCGTTGTGTTCTCGCCACTCGCCCACTTAACTGGGCGAGTGGCGAGAACACAACGGCTGGAATCTGAGCCTAGGTTTTGGCAGGCATCGCCACTATTAATTTTTTTGCCTGCATGAAATTTTGCCCGATAATCGAAAGGCGATGCCTGCGGAGGAGGCTACTAAATTAGTATACTTTCCATATCTTTGAGCATTAAAAGCTCAAAATTGGCTACGAAAATCATACTACGTGCTTTAAAAATTTCTATATATACTTCTTTGCGAACATTCTAATGGTATTGCTTATTTTTGTTAAATGTGAGCTTGAAATTTTGCATTTTTGTTATCATAGTCGGGTACCATTTATAGGCAAAATTCTCAAAATTTTATTTATAAAATAATATGTAGGTTATTAATATTGCTTTAAACAGTTGAAGTTTACCCTATTCCCCTGCATGAGTCAAAATTGCCGTTTATATCCGCATTCACGTATAAAAATCCGCAGATCTGAAGGAAGGCTACAGGCTCTACTTTTTCTCTGCCTTCCTTGGGTACGCCTCGCTTGCATCATCTCTTCGTTAAATCGTTAAACTGAAAATACATCCAGAAGCAAATTATGTATATAGCTCAGGGTGGGATAATTCTCGTACTTACGTCACGGAGGTACGGCAATAGTGAGGTTTAGACCTGACCTCCACTGCCTTCCACTGTCTTAGTACGCATCTGATTGGTTAATATGGTAATCTAAACACCTAGTAGTAGATGGTTTTTTGTAGATGAAATTTTCAAACGTAAATTTCTATACACTTTTAGACCATAGACCCTCTGGCAGAAATCGAACCTGCGGCAAAAAACTCATCTACTAGCAGTTGTATGGAAATAGTTGACAAAAAATCTATTTACCCATATTACATTCTACTGGCATCACCCCATTATATTATACACGAATCTGTAGTTAATGCTCAATAACTGGATTCTGTAGCTCAGTTGGTTAGAGCGTTGCACTGAAATCGTAGGTTCGATTCCTACCAGAGGGCCTATATATAGTTCCTGGTTAGGTCTAAAAGTGTATAAAAATTTACGTTCGAAAATTCCTTTTACAAAAAAACGCATCTACTATTAGTTGTATCGAACGAGATGCGCAAAAATCTCGAGTCCAAACACCTCGCTGATATTACGGTCTGGGACTTCTTTTTTCAGCCTCGTACCACGTTGGTACGCGGATGTAATTTTTAAGACCTCTTATAACATAAATATGGTACCATATGACCTTTCCAAGCCCCTCAAGGTATTCAGAACCGTAATTAAGTTCGATGTGTACGCCTGAAATGTCTTAACATGAAACATGATTGGACTAATGGGACTAAGTTTTATCTAAATCAACAGGATTTTGTATCAAATGATATTAATGCGAAAAGTATACAGAAAAGAATTTTAAAACTATTTACAAAATTATATAAGATATATATAGCATTATATGAACTAACAAACAGATATATTTATTATCTTGCAGTTATACATGAAAACTTGATTCAGAACTTTATTTCTTTTATTACGCCGCCCTCCAAGCACAACTACTTGAACTCTCCAACGAACAGTTGAATTTTGAGAATCATGACATGAGTGTTAATTTGAAATTGGGGTTGAACTTTTTCACATTTGAAGGAAAATTCCACTCAGGTATGAACGAAATGATATATATACGCCTCATTTTGTGTATAAGAAATATTGCCAGCTTATTTGTTCAATTGAGGAAGTTGATGTGATGACCTTTTGCTTAGCTGATTTCATAGCATATGTGCATATGTTTCATACCCACCTTGAATGATCAAAATACTGGAAATCCTTTTTCCGCGTTTTATCCCTTGCTACGCTTCGCCAATTCCGTTGTTCCGGATATACATTATATCCCAATCAAGCCTTAGAACAAAGCCCGCGAGCAAACCTTACACTCCCGGGAATTTGTCTAATAGACAGTTCACGTGGGTCGGGAATTTGCCTGTCATATACGTGTACGGGGGACGGGTATTGTAGTCGCTGAGGACCCAATCTCGTTCCCAGAGTATGCCTGTTCGCGGGTTAGGTTGTGGCACAACCTAACCCGCGAACAGGCATACTCTGGGAACGAGATTGCTGAGGACCATAGTGAGGACCCCGGGGATTTGACTTTTGCCCACCTGCAAATTTTAAGGCAGCAAAACCTACTTTCAGGCACGCATGTGGGCGGTGCTTCATCGTATTCTTGCGCCCTCGTGGTCAAGCTGGTCACAGAATCGAAGGTGGCGTGAAATATTTTTATAACATAAATCTTAAAAAGAAAGGTCATTCGTGTTCTGTTTTTACAATGAGGTAGGAACTGTGTGAACTGTAAAGAATGGCTTTTTGTCCGACAAAAGAGAAAATATATGGCTACGAAGACTCTCGGTTTGAGAAAGATGTCGACGAAAATTTTCACTGTTCTATCTGTTACAATGTTCTCAAAGAACCAAGGATGTGCAGAAATAACGAACACATCTTTTGTCTTGCCTGTATCAGTGAACACCTACGTGTAAACTCTCAAACTTGTCCTGAATGTAGTGAGCATTTGAGCGTAGATACGCTTCGTAGGGCGCGTTTAGCGAGTAATTATTTGTCTAAGCTCAAGATAAATTGTGATCATGCCAGTCGAGGATGTGCTGAGTTGACCTGTCTTGAAGATCTCGAAACTCATGTGGCAAATTGTGACTATGCTCCTGTGTTGTGTTCAAATGCAGAGTGTGGTATGGTCATCAACAAGCGAGAACGAGTCCATCATGAGACTGCAGTTTGTCGACATAAGAGAATGAAGTGTCATGACTGTGGACAGATACAGGAAGATGTGGGAACATTGAAAGAAAGTTTAATGGAACTGGATGGGAAAGTGGAAGCAGCAAATAAAGAAATGAAAAACAATCATGATGAAGTGAAAAAGGTTGTGGGGGAATTGGAGGGAAGTTTAAAGGCACTGGATGGAGAAGTGGAAGCAGCAAATAAAGAGATGAAGAAGACTGTGGGGGAATTGAAAGGAAGTTTAAAGGAACTAGATGGGAAAATGGAAACAGCAAATGAAGAGATGAAGAACAATCATGTTGAAGTGAAAAAGGTTGTGGAGAAATTGGAAGGACGTTTAAAGGAACTAGATGGAAAAGTTGAAGCAGTAAAGAACAGTCAAGATCAAATTAAGGAAGAAGTTAAGAAAGAAGTAAAAGATGTAAAAGAAAGTCTTTCAAAAGTGAACGAAGACGTGGACGAAGTCAAAGTGATGATGAGTCAAGTGTTAGAGAAGTTAAATATGCTTGAAATGCTTAACAAACTGCCATCTCCGACTGAGGGAATGTTGAAGACACCAAGGGAAGACATTTTGATTGCAGGTGCTGGTCAGGTTCTTAGTGCAACTAGTAGAAGTGTGGAAATATATTCCTGGGAGAAGAATGGTTGGTTTGAAGTGTCACCAATGAATAAAGGGCATTGTGGAGCTTCATCATTTATTTATAATGATCAGTTGTTTGTTGTTGGGGGAGAACGTAGTAAGATAATAGAGACCTTGGATCTCAACAAATTGTCTTTGAAATGGATGAAATGTTTTGGAGTACTTCCTTATCTGAGTGCTGATCATCAAACTGTTGTTTACCAACAGTGTGTGATTCACATTGGTGGATATGATTATAACCAAGATAGACGGTCTGATATGATCAGTGAATTGCAACTTACCTCACCTGTCACTATGAAAAAGTTGTGCCAAATGCCTGAGCAACGAGATTGTCATGGTGCTGAGATATTTGAAAGTAAAGTCATGATTTTTGGAGGAGAAGATCGTACTGATCATCCTTTAAATAGTGTGTTGGAGTTTGATGTAAAGAAGAATGAATGTAAGGAGATGCCACCATTACCACATCGCTTGACGAGAATGGCAACTGTTCGCTGGAGAGATCAAGTTGTTGTGCTTGGAGGGTGTAATGAAAGAAATCAAGCTGTGAATGATGTTTTCATGTATGACTGCAAGACGGGCAAGACCACAGCTTTACCATCCATGTTGGAGAAGAGATATGAATGTTGTGCAGTTATTACTGGAAATACCATTGTAGTCATGGGAGGTGTGATTGAGAAAGATGAAGATCTCAGTTCAGTGGAGTGTTTTACAATGGGAGGTTCTACATGGGAGTATCTTCCTGCCATGAATGAAGCCAGGTACGGAGCAGTTGCTCAAGTTTTACCTTCCACAAAAAAATATGTATAAGTTTGACACTTAGACACGCTCAGTTAGGCCTAAACAAAATACCTGTGGTCCCGGTTTACCGACTGACCCTATTTTTTTCTGCCGACCCTATTATTTTTTTCAGTGTGATTGGCTGTGTGACCCTATTTTCTCCAGGTGGTTGTGGGCTGCTCATACAGCGTGCCAAAATGGCGTATGTTGTCACACTAATTATTGAACCAAATTGCCTAAATTCGTCCATAGGAACCTACGTATCTCTAGTTAATATTGATGTTGAGACTCTACCGAAAATCGCCCAGCAAAAAACTGCCAAAACCATGAAAAAAATATTTTTAAAAAATTATTTCCAACCTATCGACCCTAATTTTTTCATGATATGAAACTGGAACCACAGGTATTTTTTTTAGACCTTACCTATATATTATAATTATATATATAAGGTTGTGTTAAAATAGGTTGATTATATTGGGGGAAATTGTAACTAAGGTGAAGTTATACAGAGTGTATCAAAGAAAAAGATAATTCATGTTGGGCATTTTGTTATTGTGCATTGGGTATTGACCAGGGCCGGATTAACATCGCGCGAGGCCCGCGGCAGATTTTAGCGCGAGGCCCCTCAACCCCCCCCCCCTCCCATTATGAAAACCTTTGCAATTCAAAGACACACAAAATTGTTAAATAATTGCTTTCAATATTTCAATTGATGGCATCCTTTATAAACAATTGCCTGCCTGGCCCAGTTGTTGGGTCAACAAGTATAAACAGGATCATATATAACAGATCAGCGCAACTGGAGATTACATGGATACGAGTATTGTATATTTTCCTGGGGTAAACTGCCAATCCTAGGGGCTCTAAATGCGCGATGTCCCTAATTCGCGAGGCACCTAAAATGGGCGTATCCCAATAGAAAATAGGCGTGTTCTCGTAAAAATGGGCGTGGCGCAGTAAAGTGCGAGGCCCCCATAAGCGCGAGGCCCGTGGCATATGCCGCATCTGCCACGTGATTAATACGGCCCTGGTATTGACACTATAGATTTATTGGCATAGTTGCATTTTTTGCATAGTTGCATTTTTTAGGTCTGATAAAATAAAATGGATAAAATTCACTCAAAATTTGTTATATTGAGTGTAGATGCCTAAAGTCCTGGTATTTACCCATACATTATATATTTACTCTTTTCCATATCAGCAGGGGCAGATCTACTGGTGGGGTGCAGGG